ATATTATTTATGAAGCATTAGTCCAACAGAGACAAGGGCACTTATGCACATAGAGGACACTGTCTGGGAACAATGAATGACATGAAGTGTTTTTGAGTTTTGTTATCCCCACTACAAACTATCAGCTCCCTCCCAAGGCCTCCCCCATAAACCATGCATGTATGCCAGTGCAGCTTCAACCCAAACCCAGGAGTCCCCCTTCAAATCAGACTACTACTATAAGTCCCTATAGGGTCCTGGTGGGTGGTAAAGGGAAAGAAGTTGGTATACACCCAGTTTTAAAAATCAGGTAGAGTACTTTGGACTTGGTGCAATAGATAATAAGGAGTTATTGTAGGCCCCTTAACAATTAAATATTTGATACAGTGATGTATCAGAAAGACTAATCTCTGTAGAACTTAATTCACTGCAATTAGGGATTAAAATTTTTCAAGAAATGGGACTAAATAATGAGCCAAATAACAATGAAGTATCAATAGCAAAGGAACTGAGGGTTTTTTAAAATTTCATTCCAGAATAATCAAGGGATAAGTCAGTTCAAATGAAAGATGTCACTGTTATCAAAACTTCATTTATTGAACTATGTTTCATGTGAACAGAGTGTATTTTTTAAATTATTTGGTCATTATATGAGTCAATGTCATTTCCAGTTTTTGGAAAATTAATATTAATGCCTTGTCATTGAAATGTAACTGAGTTTATCAAATTAATTTCTCAAAGGCCACCTGATAGCCACCAGATGGCAACCTGAGCTGATGTCAAATTAGAAATTTTAAGTTATGGAGAGCCCTGAGACTGCATTACAGCTCACTCATCCCACTGGGTTCCTTTAAAATCAAAGCACAAAAGCTTGCTACTATTTGCCTGAGTCCCATTTGAACATAATGAAATACGCTCTATCCACAATGCCCACAATAATTAAAGTTTTTTCTTCATAATAGGAGTCCATCTAGAAATAACAGAATATGGAATGATCATTAACAGACATGTTAAAGTACTTGAATAAATGTCTATCAAGAGCACAGGCACACAGTAAATTTCCTAAAGAAAATCCATTTTCATTTCAAAGTATGACATTTTATTTAGAAAAATTACACCCTTTCTTTTAATTATTTCAGTAAACATAATGAGGGTACTGCTAACTACACCTCAGAGTACTTTATTTTCTCCATTTTTTAGTAATATGAGTCTACTTGTAATTAAAGGCATACTGCATTAATGATGCTCAATGTCTCCAAGGGAAACCTTTAATGTACACCTCATAATATTATGTCAAAATTACACGCACAGAAGACTTTTTAATCATCTTTGTTTCCTAATTTAGTTTTGACTGGCTCCAAAATCCATAGCAGCATGCAAAGGCTCACATTTCTACAGTCATCAGCACTTCCGTATCATAAATTGCAGAAACGCATATGACTTCTTCTGTCTGTAGGCTTCTTTTCAAAGCTTCTGTTTAACTTATCCAGAAAATTAGCTGCAGGCTGCAGATAATTGCAGATAATTTTGCCATTTTTAAGCCACTGGGGTGTTGCGTGGAGATATGACAGCTAAGTTTGTCTAAACACAAAGAACAAGACATAGCTTTGTATTGTCACTTTGGCTTTACACACACGTTCAGATCACCCTATTTGCTCCTTATGCAAATTGAAACAAATTGTAGTCACTAGTGATCTGTGTTACCTGACAAAGCTATGCTACATGAAGCTTTTATGTGGCTGAAGAAGGACATGATCTATACTAACATTTTATCACAGCCTAAAAAATATGGTTAACCCTCTTCTACCCTTCAGATTCTTCCCCCTTAACAAAAACAAAGATTTTCTTAGCTATCAACTTAAAAAGAATGTATTAAATTTAAAAGAAAACATATGGTCTCAATAAACACAATTCAGATACATTGTTTTCTCCTATTCCACTATCATAAGTAGAAATAGCAGGCTTCTCCCATAAAACTTAATGTTTATAAATGCTGGTACTATTAATATGCAACAAATAGATATTAAAGAGGTATTAAAAAAAGTCATCCAGGTGAATAAGCAGAGACCTATTGTTAAATAGAATCACATGGTCTTTTTCTCCTTAAGTTTCACTCTGAAGTAGATGCAGCCTTCATGGATGAACACCGTCACAGAATGAGGGAGCAAATGCCAAAAGCACCAACACAGACCCTTAATGCCCTGCAAATCAACTTCAACTTCATGTGAAATAAATCAGCTGTGTTAATTATAGGTTATTTCTCTGACTGAATGTCCCCTCAGTGCTCAGAACTGCTCTAGTCACAGCTAATAAGGGTCCCACTAGCTGAGCAGGTGGTTATTGAAACCATTTTGCAGCCAACATTTACATATAGGGGCTAAGTAGTGAGCGTGCTTCTGTGGCAGCCACCCTGATGTAATGGGCCTTAATGACTCTGAGGGTGCAGGTATGCATGCGTGTGTCAAGAATGGGAGAACATGGAAGTCATAACACAAATGGCTTTATGTATTCCCATTAGACCCTGGGCTAAGGAGCACCTTAACAGCTCTGATATGACAGCATCCTGAGACTGCTTTATGGCCTTGTGTCAGGAACCCTTACACTGAAGGATTTCATGGAAAATCCAAAACCGCAAAGGAAGAATTGCTCTATTAGGCCACTATCAGTATATACATACAAATAGTTCCTAAGTATGCATTTAAAGGATGATTAAATTTGTTATGCCAGTCATGTGCATAATAAGGAGTCCAATTTAAGCATTGATAGGTAATGTCCCACAAACCTTATGCTCTCCCTTGGAAAACAGTTCTGCCCAACAAGCTTAAGTATACTAAGGCTTCCTAATATCTGCATCGTACTAAGATGTAACCTTTAAAAAGACTGTCTTTTGGAGTTTCATGTAAATAACTAAAGAATACACAGTACTCTCTTGAGAAAACTGAGGGGTGTCATTTTAATTTTTTTTCCTCTTTGGGTCTCGAACACCGCTTAGCCAGTGGACTGGTAGGAATTGGCTTGTTTAGGACCTCAGACCACATCCCTGTGACAGGAAGGCATAAGAACTTCTATAGGCCTGTCCCACTCATTGGGGGAGACAGAGGTACACTAGGCACACTGATGACACCTTCAACATGATGGACAGGAGCAGTGCTGAGCCAGCATTCTCTTGGCGACGGCTGAGATCAGGGAAGTTGCACGTTCAAATCACACACTAAACACATCATACAGGAACTATGCAAGTGGAAACAGCACTCTGAAAAAGGGTATTCGCTATTTTACTTAGATTTGTAAATTATTAAACAATTCCAGAAGAGGCATATTGCTACAACTGTCCTGTAAACCAATACACAGAGCTGGAGTGTAATATAAATGGTTGACCCAGAACTCATCCTCTGCTGTAGGGAGTAGAAGACACCACCATCTAGCACCTGAACAGCAATTTCACCCTACATTTGCAATGAGATCTTATATTTGACCTTTTATGAGATTATTTAAGACCTTAGATAAAGCCAACAAATGAACCTGCTTTTTTACAGATTTATTATAGTTTTGCTAATGTGCTTGAATAAACTCCTCTTCTGAAAGTCCTTGGTTTCTAAAATGCAACTTCTTTGCAAAGTACATACCTGTTCCCAGAGAGACAGCTTTTCTCTTTGAAATATTTAGTCTTTTCAAGGTACTTTAGTCAGAGCGACACCTAATAGCCAAGCTCTTCTCCTCACTCTCCACAAAATCAGCTGGCCTATAATTCAAACCAGTCCCCAAAGGCACTTCCGAGAAATGGCGAGCCCTTAGCTTTTAGGTAAAAACACTCTTTATTGCTCAAAATTGTTTCCCGTTACAAAACCCTTTCTATGGTGCTGGGTCTAAGATGATCTTATGCTAATTTAACTCACTGGGGACTGTGAACAGCTGCTACTCTGATTAATAGTTTCACTCTCCTGAAAATGCCAGGCCAGGTTCAAGATAATAAAGTCAGGTAAGAAAACTATTAAAATCTGCCATACGATTATGTCTGTTATGCAGAGAAAAATGGGATCATAGTTTTGGTACCAAAGAGAGTCCACCTATCATAAAAAACAATGACATCAACCAAATAAACACACTATCTGAATTCTTTAGCACACTGATTTATATCGCTTTGATCACCAAACTCTTTACTAATATTTCATAAGTGTATTTTCAAAGAAAATTTTCAGTGAAATTTCAGTGTGTCGCTCCAATGATGTCTTTTCACATAGCATTAACTTTCCACCCAGAAAAAAGACCCATAAACACAATGAAAAGGGTGAACTCTGCAACTTTGCCCATCAAAAGGATTGTCCCTGAGTTTGTATGTCCCAGGTCATTACTTTTCAACAATGTTTTCATCATTCCATCTTTGATATTTAAAAAACCCAAAGAAAACCATGACCCTTGATAGTAAGAGGCTGCAGGAGTTGATAAACAAGACTTTTCTGGAAAAGCTTCTCACAAGGCTTTTTATTAGCCCCTCTCTCCTCTGCTTCTCTTCTCATGAGTCTCCCAAAGATTTCCAGATCACAGCAGTTCCCTGATGAGGAAAACCATGCGATCTCATATAGCCTCGAACTGTGAAACTTGGCTGGGACTAGATGGATATATATAAAGAAACTTATGTGCTTTTAAAGTCAGTTCACCGATGGAGGTTACCCTTACCATAACACATACGGCCTAATCATATTCCCAAACTCCAATATGAAATTTATCCTTCAGTTGGACTTTTTCTTTTACAATTTGTGTACAGTACAACACCTGTCTCAGTGAACCTTTGTTTGCAGGAACGCAGAAGGCAGGTTCCAGTGCATCAATCACAGTGTGCTAATTGTACTTACGGGTCATGTAAGCCTCCACTAAGAAAGAAGCTCACCTATTAGGACCAATTTGCTACCTGCAGATTAAACTCATTTTATGAGTTAAGTTTTTACATTCACCACATTTGTATGCATATATGACATGTCCCCACTTAATAAGAAATATTATATTCAAAAGGGTGGCCTCACCATTGCACAGAATGTCTCAGGAGGGTCTCCGCAGGTAATGTCCGGAGGATCCAGTTTCACTTTCAGGTACTTGGTCATGTCCGTGGATTCTGGCTGACAGGCCATGTAATCCCAAACTTTCCCTTCTTCTGTGTAAATCTGTGTCTTACACACATCATAATGTCCCCACACCAAAGGGTAGGGCTGCATCACTGAGGACACTGTAACCCAAAGGGCATGAATTGACAGGAATTGTGACAAATACATCTCTATGTTCTTGGCAGTCTTCGTGGTAATAAAGCAGGGTTTGCTTATCTGTGATTTATGTCTATTTCACATATAAATATATGTCTATATATAGGTATGTCTGTATATATATTAATATATATGTGTGTATATATATAATATATATATTGTGCGTATATATATAATATTATATATATCAAGAGGATGAGAACGCAAAGTAGATTCCAAAACTAAAAGTGGAGGGTGAAGAGATGGTGCACATTCAGGTATATTGAGAACTTTGGTGGAAGCCTAACATACTTGTGCATTAGGCGTTAACAACTTGCAGCTTTTTCGTTGTCCTAGAATATATCTATAAGACTCAGATCTAGTTTGGATTTTGTAAAAGATGCCCAGTAGCAGATAATGATTTAGCAAAGCGATGTCTCTCCAGTTGTATATCCGATAACCCTGGGTGGTCCTCGGCGTTCACGGCTCACAAGGAATGCTTTGATGCACTGAGGTATCAGTGTCTGAAGCAAAAGGATGAATATCCACAGCCCTGTGTCTGTTTCTCATCAGACATTCTTTTCTTCTGGCACCAACACCCTTTAAGAAACAATAAGAGGAAGAGTTATGGTCCCAGAATCAATGCAGTACAAAATGTATGATATGTTGACATTTAAGAGTTTGATGCAATATAAGGTAAATTGGTGTAATATGTATAACCTTTACTCAGCTGCTTTGCTAGAATGAGCAAACCACAGAAATCATTCACACTGGGGAGAATTTCTAGATGGAGGATTTAACTCTTCCATAACAAAGATAGATGTGTTTGTTCCAGGTGAGTTACAGGTTTTCACTTCAAAGACTGTATTTCCATCTCGACAAACCTGAGAGCAGGCAGCTAGATTTAAGCATTTCTCACATATTGCAATGCTAGGAAATCTTCCAGGGGAACAATGGGGAAATGAGCGCTTTTGTAACAATGACAAAGAAGTGACAACTACTTGTATGCCTTTTGTCTATTGGCAAAGAGACCCTAAAAATCTCCAAATTCCTTGTATGTTTCTTAGCTTTTGTTAGCTGGAGTGAAAACCGGCATTGTTGCACGAGCCTGTCCCTTTGGATTTGTTCATTATATTAGAAGATTTCGCATCGTTTGTTTAGTTGCATTTAGGGATAAAGATAACTTGGCTCTCTAAAAAAATACTCAAAAATAAAACCAAAGGAGTGAATTTTCCTTTCATTAGAATTTCCTATTTTCTTACATCTTTTTATAGCCCTTGCATCTGCATTTGCAGTTACTTTCTGTAACAGAAGAGAATTTGTCCCAAAGGTGAATATTATACGCTGCTTTAAAACTAAAAGCTCTGTAGTAAAATGTACATTTTAAAACGCACATATAAAAATAGCTGAGGGTGAGTTAACAGGCCATGAAGCAGAGGAATATGTCACTAATTCTAAGAGATAATGAAAAATCACTATTACTTTTGGTTAACTGATAATGCTGTCTACACAACGATGGGTACGAGTCACTGGTGAGTTTAACTGGCAAGTCTTCCTTTTAGAGAGACCACTGCCAAATCTAAACAAATGATAACATTTGGAATCCAGGTGTAAAGAAGTGTATCTGCTTAATTAGTTGTCATGATTGTCATAGTGCCAATAGTTAACTATTTATTAAACAATTGAAAAAAGACAAAAAAGCCTACACTATCAGAAGATACGCTTATAGACCCTTCAATTCACATTAAGAAGTTCACTATCTTCAAACAATCTTACAAAAGGAATTCACTATATTTAAATAATGTACCATCTTAAAATGAACCAAGCCATAGAGACTATGAAATGGCAACAAATGGCTGAATAGTGTTTCCATAGCAAAGTAATTTATAATAATTGCTTTATGGATGCAAGTGCAATTTTCATTATATTCAATTCAGAAAATGTTATCATACAACTGCAATTTGTGATATTTTCTATTAGGAAAAGTGTTGAATATTTGAGTTCCTATGAAGCAATAATTAGCAGTTTGTCTAAACATGTATATACTACAGATTTGAATCTGCCTCTTCTTGTAACGTGAAGACTACCATCCTACAATTTGACGATTAATAAACTGAAAAGCTGTTAAAAATACTAATATACATTTTCTAGATGCATTTCTCAACTGTGTTTACTACTTTATCATAACAAGAAGAAACACTTTCATGGATTGGGGGGAGCTGGGCATTACAAATGAAGCAGTGTAAAAAACACTCTGCTATAAATTATTAGCTTCAATTCTTAGTTTCAAATACATAGCGACTTATTTACCAAGAACAATATAATCTTGAATACCTCAGATGGGCTGCTTTGATTCTGAACTGAGTATCATGAGTTAATTTTTAATATTATTTTTTAAATGTGACCTTAAGCATATATTTGAATGCTCCCTGAGATTAATCTTCACAGTTTTTAATCAGCAAATGTTATCCCTAGTCCATTTATTCTTCGTACCTCTGTCTTCAATCCCATTTTGCCTTACTAGAACCATAAAACAGGGTGACCAGAAATTTGCGTGAGAAATTTGGATGCTGAGGAAATGTATGTGAATCTGTTACCATTTTGTGACACAACAGTGATCCCAATATAACGAACTCTCATTAGAGTATAACAGAATTATAATAAAGGTCATTACACAGAATTATGGACTACACCATTGATTGAAGTTTGAGAACTGACAAGGAAAAAGTGCAGAGAAGTGCAAGATACTTGAATATTAGGCATTTGCAGGACTGTGCGACAGACATTCTTGACAAGAAGCAGCCAATTATAGCTTAAATTTCTGGCACATAACCAGTTGTGATTAATAGTTTTCCATTACATTACAGACATATTATTAATGTATTAAAAATGTCAAGCTTTGGCAAGCACTAATATGGCATGGCTCAGTTAGTGTGCAGAACTTACATTTAATAAGCTCCCATTGACACAGAAAAGATATTGACCACAGCATATCACAGATCAGGAGCGGAGAGCCCATTAAGTCTTTCTGTAACATAATTCTTTAATTTCATTCTAATTTTTATGTCTGTAGCATCGCCTATATATCCTTCATATCCACATACACTTCAAAGAAAATCCTTTTAATTTAAAATGAGTACGAAATTAAACCTATGATCTTGCATGACACACAACAGAAAAAGCCGCTGTCAAAATCAGGAATTTGTTATTAAGGTATAATCATGGGGTTTTCAAAGAAAATAAAATGATATTAAAAATAGAATATTATTTACCCCTTAACCTCTATTATCTAATGGCACCAGTTCCCATCTGGCTATGGTTTTAACCAGGTTGAAATCATCAATAGCTTCTTAAAAGCTAGGTCACACAGCAAATAGCTAGGCAAACAGATTATGAGAAGGACGGTCAATGACATGTTTGGGGATTTAATATACTAAACCAATCCCTTCTGGCCCATAACTGGACTAACTGCCAAGTGATGCAGGCTTTGAATTTGTCTCAGGTGTCCATATCACCTGTATGTGAGCAGCTTCTGAAGAGCTCTGGGAAGCCCCAGCTCTAATTCTTTATTTTGCAAATGTTGGGACTCACTGTAATCAAATAATTCCATCATCTCTACCTGTGCACTGAAGTTCTGAGAAGTCCTCTTGGATAAAAATGCCCACTAGTATGCTATGAGTGCTCCACAGATCTCTCACTGGTGTATAAATTTACAGACCCAATGTAAAAATATAAAATTGTGTCATGTCCTCAAGTTGATGTTATTGATCTGGACTATGAGTTATAACGTGCTTTACATATATGGAACATCCTTTTATCTAGGATTCTGCAGCGAATTCCCTTCCACCTTGGTTTGGCTTTGCAGAAGGTAAGTCACAGGCCCTTTCTCTCATCAGAAAAGAAATTTACCAAAATATTACATAGAAGTAATCATGATCAAAATTATAGACAATTTATTACAAAAACAATTGCCAATTTCATCAAATGAGAGGAAAACATTAACAGTAAATCCCTAACTCTAGCAGGCTTCCAGCATTCATTTTATTATATAATCTCACTAGGAGGTGGGAGTGGTGGTAGTAGGCTATTTATTCCATAAATACTTAGCTCTTTAGGGGCACCTGAAATAGACAGCTATTGACTCATTAGAATTTTATAAATATGCATGTTTCTGAATGGGAAGGAACAAAAAGAACATTGAGTATAATCATATTCCATTGAGTGAAAAATATATAGGGAAAGATATGTCCAAATTCTATAAGCTTTCAAAACTAGCAGCTTCCAACACTGTTATAATAAGATTGATTAGATGATGTATTTAACATATACTGAATGCTCTTTGCATTTATTTATTTGCTTTGAAGAAAGCATTTTCTGATCATCTTAATGGGAAACATTTGCTTCTATCCTTTTGTTAACTGTCTCTCAAAATATAAGGAGTTCAACATGTACTGCAACATTACTGGCATATTTTACTCATACTTGATTGGGTATTATGAGCAACTGCCTATCATGAAGATTCTTAATAAAACCAAACAGCACACCTTAGTATTTGAAAGATCTGTTTTTACTGAGAGTAGAATGATTAAAGAATTTGAATAGCATATATTTTGCAGGATATCTGGGATAATACATAAGATTGTTTCAGAATCAGTTAAGCTTGGAAAAATATCTGGTGTTTCATTATCATGGAATAACTAATCTTTCCTGTTCATGTAGGAAAGCTCAGAGGTCCAAGGTTTCAAACACATATTTGAGAAAATCTACACCCATCTAAAGTTTTGAACCCTGGAATCTAAAGATAAAATTATTTTTTAAAGCATGCTATATCTCTTACTGATCTATAATATACACATACATATTTTCATTAACATAATATAATTTATTTTCTGAGTTGTATGAAATTTGATTTCTTTCCAAGTAACTTGGGCGTTCATAACTCAAACTCTCTCTCCAAGTCTTTACAACATGTAGAAAACATATCAACTAAATGTATAACAGTTTAATTCTTTTTAAACCTATTACCTGCTTTTTTTTTCAGAATAATAATGGAAACAAAGGCAGTTGTTTGCACCAATTACAAATATACAAAAGAAAATTGAAAAATACATTAGCCTCCTCCAAGAAGGCTAATCATTTTAACACATATGCCCAAAGAAAGCTGACAAAACAAAAATGTCAGTAGGAAACAAAGCTTTATGTGCAAATAGAATAATCTGTCCTCTTACAAAATTTTAAGATTACCCCTCTTAAATTTCACCATAGGAAATATCACCAATAGCTAAATCTATGGAATTCTGAATGCCCTCATGTTGGTCTTTAATGATGAAACAGATCTCATTTCATGGCATTCAGAAGAGAAAGGGCAATACATCCCTATACATGTGGGCTGGAACATTATATGTGAAACACTTGATGCACTTTTTGTTTTCATCCTGACCCAAATTTTGTCTTAATGAAAAACGGAGTTGCTTATCTTCCTAAAGAATCTTGGACAGTTTTTAAGCTGCCTTTCCTTTGCCAAAGAGAAAGGCGGGAGGGTAGGAGGTTCAAAGTGACACAGTTCAAAATACATAATGAAATCTGGGGTTGCTAATTCCCCACAGACTAGATATGGTCTAAAGGGCTAGACAAATCAGAAAAACCTTGCCCCTCTTCCGGAAAAAAAGAATTTTTGGAAAACTCCTAACAAGCTTAACCATTAGATATATTTGAATACATGATTTTGTTGCAAGATCTTCCTGGCTAATTTTTTTTCCATTTCTGTAACAGAAGAAAACTTTTAGTATTTTCAGCCATAAAATAGGGCCTTATTTCTAGAGCAAATCTATTGCCAGATACACCATATGTTTAGTGGAATTCTGAATCTCAGAATTTTCCATTCCAAAGATTGACAAACTGTTATGATAACGAGTGGCTCCATTACCATTCCCTGAGTAAAGAGAAGGGGGTAAAAGGTAGGAAACAAAAGCCACTACTCTCTGGAAATATATACTTGATGCTATGATGGTAACGCAACCTCTGACTTTTCCAAATAAGTTGCTTTAAAATCCCCGCTAGGAATTTTCCTCCCTTGCCCTGTAAGATGACAACCTCATTCTAAGTGGATTTCTGGGGCGGAGTGGGGTGGGGTGGGTGGGGTTGGGGGAAGGTCCTCGAGTGAGGTTACTGAAATAAACAGCAGAGGGCGCAGTTTCTTTTTATATCTAAGTTTTCCGCTGTATGAATCACTTAATTGGTTATTTTGGGCCCAATAATATTCAGGATTATTTGTATTATATATAGGTATCTACAGATCCATACAGGAGAGAAATTCACTGCCCCTGGCCGAATCCATCAACCGATTAACGTAATGCCAGTAAATAATCTGAGAAAATATTACAAACCGCATTTCTACACCAAGTCTTTCCCTCCTCCAATTTTTGCTTCTCCCCAGCTGCACGAAATGGGATAGCAATGCTTTAATCTCGCATCAACAAAGCACATGAAAAGAAGGGAACTTCAAAAGCTGTCAGGGTGCCACCGGCTCCACGGAGCGGGCAAAAGGGCGAGTTTGTTCTCAAAGCAAAGACAATTGGCAAAGAAAAGAAAAAGAATGAACGAACGAACGAACGAAAGAAAGAAAAAGAATCCTCCGGCGCGTTGTGTGTGGTCGGTCAGGCGTGAGAGAGGGAGAGCGCGCTGCGTGCCCGCCAGTCCGCGGACGGAGGCACGGACCCCGCGCCACGCTCGCGTACACGCACAGACAGCACCCCGCTCGGGGCGCACCCCCAGGAGGACTCGCTCGTGTGTGGGTGTGAGAGTGTGCGGGCTGTGTGCGCGCCCAGGCTCCGCGCGCCGCCTCCTCCGGGCGCTTCGCAAAGTTCCTCGCCCACCTAGAGCCTTGCCTCCCGCCTGTGGATTGCGCTGGGCGGGGGGGAGCGGAGGGAGCGAGGAGGCCGGGGGAAGAGGGGCAAAGACACGCGCGTCGGTCGCCGAAGGAGGGGGCCGCCGGCGGCGCTTACCCGGGTGGCCCGTTCGCCCGAGAGCCGGTCTGGAGCCGAGCCGACGGCGCGGGGCGGCGGCCCTGCCCAGCCTGGTGCGCCCCGGGCGGCGGCCGCTGCAGCAGAGCCCGCGGGCAGCGCACAGGCGGGCGGCGGTGGCGGTTCCCTCCGAGCCTGCTCCGGGGCCCCCGGGGGAGCAGCGGGAGGGGTGGGTGTGGACGCGAGTCGCGGCCGCCGCCGCCGCAGCCCCAGGTCCCGGCGGCGCCCGGCCCGCCGAGGGAGAGGACTCTGCATCCCGAGAGCCCGCGCCCGCCCGCCGCTCCCCGCCGCTCACTTACCTGCGTCTCCGGCCCCTGTGGGGGCGCCTCCCGCGCGTCGCCCCCTCTCGGAGCCCTCACCCAGAGGGGAATTCCTTCCCGTTGACGTCCTCTTCCGAAATGCAAAAGATCAGTGACTTTGACAGGTAGACAAGGGGGAGGGAACAGGGGTGGGCGGAGAGGAAGGGAGGATGAGAAAGGTGCCTCTCCCTCCAAAAATATAGTGATGTTAATAATGAAATCGCAGCCTTCGCGAGGTCTTGCCGGACCAGTCCCCTGCTTGCCGGCTCTCCTCCGCGCCTCCTCGCGCCACTGCCTCTGCCACTTCTCGCCTTAAACTTTTACTGAGGGATTTTTTTTTTCTATTTCTATTTCTCTCGCTCGCTCGCTCTTTTTTTTTTTTCCTTTAATTTTTTTTTAGGCTGCAGGACGATTTCCTGATTGCCGGGGATCAGAACCAGCGGCCGGGAGGTTCTACCCCGCTTGGCACAGCTTTCATTTTATTTCAGATGAAGACGTTGAGCTTAGTCAGAAGGGACATAAATCAGGACAATTAGCATTGGCGCCAAGAAGATCCTCGAGTACCAGTTTCGCCCGGGCTTCCTTCGCGCATTCCTCCACTCAAGTCAGAAATGTCACTGCACATACTGTTGACGGCTGCGAGACGCGACGCACCCAAAGTCCATTTGATGAAATATACATGGCCCACGACGCTCCTGGACTGCGGCTCCCGGGCTCCCCGCCCCCACCCGCGGCGCCCAGCCGGACCGCGCCGAGCGGGCAGCGAGCTCCCGGCAAACTTAGGGGCGCGTGCGAATGACAGAGTGAGCGCTGGGGCCCGAGAAGGGACAGAGGGCCCAGCAAGCCCGGAAAGCCGCAGCCCTCCGAGGGGTAGCTTGTACGTTTCACTTAAAAGCAGATCTTCTTCTGCAACAGCAAGTGGAGGGATTGCAAACCTTATACTACCTCGAGACCTGGGCGCTCCGAGCGGTCCTAACTCCTTCCCGCTCGCTTCTGCTGCTGTTCTGGCCTCTGCAGCTCCACGACCTGTGAGCTGAGGCTCTGAGACCACCCTTTACCTCCCCCACCCCCAGATCGCCCACGGAGGCGCGGTTTCTAGTAGCGCTTTTGCGTACCTTTAGCTGCTATGCCCCGCCCGTCCCATCCTTCACTCCTCGTTCTCCTCCCCCAAACCGTTCGTAAGCACTGCCTCGCCCCCAGTGGTGATCGCAACAGTGTTTTTCAACCGACAGTTACCATGCCCTGCCAGTGGCCCCTACCGCGCAAGCCTCGAACCTCCTTGTTCAGAAATTCATTCTCCTTAGGAAAGTTGAAAATAGCTGTGCTTTTCAGGCTTCCTTGTCTTTCCCAAGAGAAACACAATTGCTCCAGCCCGCCAGCATTTCATTCCCCACCAGTGGAGGCTCAGACTTACCTGGAATCACTCTTAGCTACATACTAAAGTAAAGTAAAAAAATAAAATAAAAAAAAATCAGGCTTAGATTGGGTGAGACTTTAATTAGAAAGGCTATTGCAAAGGGAGAAAGCTCTGATCTCAGAAATCTGTAAGCCTCTCAACACCGAACAGAAACAATCTTTTGTATGGTAAGGGGGGTAAGCAGTAAAGGAAACTTACAGATGACAGGGTCTAAACCCAAGGCAACACCTGTGGTTTGACAAAGAATGTGCCTCTGTGGTCCATGGATTTTGGCAATAACCTGACAAGGAAGTATGTTCTGCATTTTAGTGTGTGCTCAAACTTGTGGGCTAGTTAATGTTTAGGGTCGGGTGGGGAGGAGAGGAACCTGACTCAGGTTTGGTCAAGGCAAAGCAAAGCGTAATAGGAAGTGAGCAGCTGTGAAGACTTGGTCACTAACTGCAAGTCCTGTAGTGCAGGCAGAGAGCTATGAGCAGAGGAGTTATTTTTCTGTGGTAATTGGGTAGCAAGGAGAAGGTTGTTAAACTGAGCCTGTGACCAGATCTCCCTTGGCCCTGAGCAGCCAGGCAGGAGGCAGAGGCTCCTGGCACCCCAACCCTAAACACTTCAATGCCTGAGAGGTCACAAATGCATCCTCCCTCCTTTGACTCCCTCCAAAGCAGGCATCTATGATTCCTGTGCTTTCCACCTCCCCAGCTCTGTACTCAATCACTGACATTGCAAAAAAAAGAGCCACCTACACAGATGAAACTCCTCCAAGGCCTTCTTACAATGGCCATTCCTGGCTCTGTCCCTGCTCATGCTCCTCCAGGTTTGAAATAAATTGATTATATGGAGATGCCATTCACTACCTAACTTACCCTCACAGGCCTCCAGAGCCTAGTTCCTTCTGGGGAGCCAGTGGGACTTAGAAACAACTAGGCAGAGTGGACTTCTCGCTGGTCACAGTTGGCCTGGCCTGACCACTGAAATACAGACAGCTCAGCCTTACTGCTCCCTCTTGCCCTTTTCTCTCAAGCCAAGGAAACCCTTTCTGAGTTCCTATTCTGATCATTTTAGGTCCTTCTCCAGTAAAAAATAAATAAATAAAGGAAAGCAATCTATGTGGAAATTAGAAAGTTCCCTTCTGGAATATACCAAGATCTTTGTGATATTGGCTCTCAACTTGGAAGAATGATCTCTTTCAGCTGTCAAAATCTCAGAACTATCCTCCTTCCCCCTCTTCTTCCTATACTATATCCTCCCTTATTCCCACAGTTCCTTGGACTAGGAGGCAAACACCAGTCCCCAGTAAGTCTGATATGTGAATGGGGACCCTCTCCAATTAAGTAGCGTCCCCCACTCTGGAGTGGAAAGCCTTCCCAGAGATGAATTTTTCTTTGAAACATCTGTTCTGATCTTTGCACAGATTCAGTAAGTCACCAACTAAGCATGTGGATTTAAACTCTAGGTGGGAAATCAGAATCCCCAGAGGGGATTTTTCAACATTAAAACCCCTTCCTCTTCACATCATGGTTTCTCCTCGTGGATGGTGTTGGGGGTGAACTTTTTTCCCAAAAAAGCACTTTGGATGGATCTGACATACTCCCTCAAACTGAGAACCCATGAATTTATACATTAAACAAGCTTTCTTGAATATACCTTTGCTTATTTGTTTATATAATACACATCAGAAATTTACTTTAGGTATTTTCTTCGCATCAGGGAAAATAATTTAGGACATGCTTACTTTTCCTATTATCCTTTCTTTCTTCACCTGTATATATTTAACTTTGTTTGGAAAGAGTGGCTTTTCTGTTTTTATTTAACCTTCCAACTCTACTTTTTCTCCCCTCTCCTTTTAGAGAATTGTTTGATCTGTCAGTTCTCTGATTTCACTTCTCTCACTGGTTTCTGTACATTCCTCAGTCATCCTCAACTTAGATTTTCATTTATTTGTACTCCTATTAGGTCTCTAACTATTGTTCATTTTTCTAGGTTATTAGCTATTTATAAACGTTCTTTTAAGACATTTGGCAGGGCCATTTAAATACTTTTAACATCAGCATGCCAAACTGGTAACGGTAGCATATTTGTAATATATCTGGCCTGAAAAGATACGCCTTCTTATAAATACTATAAAGTACTTGACATAAAGTAGGCATAAGATAAATGTTCATTGCAATGTGAATAATTTTTATCCATTCCCAGGATTCAGTTATAGCCTCCTTGGTAACAGAAACTAACTCACACTATATTAAATTAAGACTCAGATGTCGGAAATATCCAAATAAGGGACAAGTTCTATTTGGCCAATTGTATAGTATGTGATAGATGCTTTTTATAACTGCTGCTTGTGTCCCAGTAGAAACATCCTTTCTAGCAGTTGTAAAACCTTTAGCTCTTTCTAGCCTCCACTCTGTGCTTGAGGACATGTTTTATTACAGAGCCATTAGCAGTATAGTTTTGACAGGTTTTGAAGTTCCTTACCTAACAGGATTTTTTAATGCTTAAATATTTTGACATTTAAACCTCTCACAAGCCCTAAGCATCTGGTATGGGCTCTATTGCTAGACTATATTGGCATTTCCCTGCTGTTGTAGGCGTACCAAGTACCCTTATCTTGAAACTTTAAATTTACAAGCCCAAACTGTCCAACTATCAAGCGGGCCCACCGTAAGTCTATCAACAACTTCATTTAGTTCTTCTTAGGACTGATAGGAGACTAAAGAAAGTATGCATTTTCTGTGTTACTGATTCTAGAACACAAAAAATAGCAGGTGGTATAAACCACTGATAGTTAATGACTGATGGCAGGGGACGTGACCTTCAGCACTCATGTGCTTTCTAATATATGGTGCTGTGTAAAATAGTTTGGAAATAATAAACTTAGCTGCTTCATTAAAACAGTAATCAAAATTAACAAAATTTGGGGGGTTTTATTAGGAGAAAGCATGCTAACATAAAAGATGATCTTTTTTAGGCAAAAGATGACCTATTTTATGTCTCTTTTCTATTCCAACTTTATGACCTTAGAATTATTTGAGTGGGGATAGTTCTTTTATTTTTGTTTATCCTCTTTGACCCATAAGAAATTAATGGAAATAACTTCTTAATTTTTATGCTTTCAGAGCACATGACAGTAGTCATTTTTATCCAACAGTAAAATTTGTCAAAATGTGTCAAAATAACACCCTGAGCTTTTTTTTTAAGTCTGTCTCAGTTTTTTTGAGACTCTGAACACATAGTCAATATTTGTTTAATGGTTTATATTTTCCTAAGGCTACAAAAAGAGGCACCCCACCAAGCAGGATTGGATAATTCTATGGTCTGAACACACTCAGTAAGCTTCTATGAACCTGTATCTTGTTGTATTTAGTTTATCTAAGATCATTCACTTATTTCTTGAGAAAAGGAACTCTCACAATCTAGTTTCTTGGCTGGAAAATTTCATCTCAACAGCTGTGTAGATTTCCTCAAATGTAATTTTTGTACTTTCATTTTTTCTCCAGCAACAAATTGAGAAGGAGAATTTATGGAGGAAGACTGGGTAACACCCCTTGCCTAATTTAGAGATCTTTCCATCAATTCTATCTCAATGGTTCTTCTCTTCAATTCAATAAATATTGATGGAACCCACAGTGCCTGCCAGGAACTGTATTAGGTGCCAGAAGCAATGCAAAGCTCTCAAGTCAGAGTACACACTACCGTGTCAGAAAAAGAGAGCTGGACTAACTGTAATGTGCATTTTTAATGTTGTGCTAACAATTGCTTAAGAGAACTAACTCAGGTGATGGTACCAGGCTTCAAAGACCTCCCAGGCCACTGGCCCAAACCACAACAGAGAGCAGCCTCTGTGGTTTAGCTGTTTCTTCAAGAAGTTCTTGCACTGTCATAAATGTGGGGCCCAATGCAATAATGACTGACTTAAAATTTGGTGAACCACTTCAATGAGAATATCCATGATGAAAGATAGTCCAAGAATAGAAAAAAGCAGACACAGAAGACGACTCACAGATCACACGGTGCCTTGGTTTGAGCTCTACTCTACCCAGATGTTTCTCCCTGTGTTTCTTGAGTTCCTGCTTCTGGATTTCATTTGAGGCTTATTGTTCTGAAATGAATACCTCGGCTGCTGTTTGTATCAGCTCTATGGCTCCCATTCCTTTAGCTTCTATGCTGAATGGCGGCAGTGAATATAAACTGGTGTTGGCTTCCAATGAGTAGGATGGATTTGTGTCAAGTGGCCTCTATTTCCCAGTGGGCTACATCGCTTTTGGCACAAAGGCTCTATCTCCTACAGAAAGTGACTAATCCTCTCAAATTTTGCCTTGATTTGTAATAGTAAATAATGAAGTCAAAAGCATTACAAATTCTCTTCTTAACTCAGTAAGCTAGGAAGAAACTCAATTGTCATCGTCAGTTCTCAAAACTTTAAAATCCCATGGAAAATAACACAACTGTAAGATTCCTATGATATCATAGAAGTTATTTCTTATTACCCTCTTCCTTTCTTTTTCCTTATTCTCAAACATGAATATAACACTTCCTATGTGCTACCGACTTGTCATCCAAATAGTGAGGTGAATAAGGCAGACCCTCCCACAGTTTACAATTAGAGAAGACAGACCTGCAAACCAATGGAAATTGCTATAGGAGTTGAGATTGAAACCCACAGGGAACAAGTAAACCCCAAAGGAAACAAAGGACCACTCTCTTCGGAGGATCCTGGAAAACACTGGGTGGATGAAGTGGTATATGACCTACATCTCAAAAGATTAGTAAGTGTTCATTCAGCAGACAAAGGAGCAAAAGGCCTTCTGACCAGGCAGAAGGCAGAACAAAGTCAGAGGGCTTACTGCAGTAGGGCGGGTGTATTGTTGCACTTCCAAGTATTCCGGTACTGACTGTAGCACCATAGAGATGGCCTTTGGTGAATGCTTACAAACTTTTGACACTGAAGATCTGCACCAAGAATTGAGAGCAATAGACGAGAAAATCAAGGGAAAGGAAGTATCCTGTTATTTAGGGTAGGTTCATAGGAGACATATGAACACACCAATAATTTAGCATTATTGATTTACAAAAATGGCAAGTTTTATGTCTCAGCAAAATAGAATCCAAGGACTGCCCATTCAGTTCTGAGTAATCTGTGTTAAAAGAAGAGAGTAATTAACACAGAAAATAACTTTTTAAAAAGTTTTCTATTTGCTTTGAGTACATCATATGCCTTATTTTTTGCAGGAGATACACCTTCCTAATGAGGTTTTGTGCTTAGACTGGTATTCAGATCAGCTGGATTTCCCTGAGTAAGCAGTGACAGCAGGAAAACAGGGCTGCAGAGCAGACTGGTGACCAGGGCAACCCAAGGTTCAAACATTTAACCAGGGATAAACCACATATGAATAATGGAGAGTTGAGTAATTAGTAATTATAGACACTAATTAATCCTTAAATACAAAACCAGTCCCCAGTCATTCCACCATTACTGTCTTAAATCAGTGTACCTCAAACTCCTTTTGGAGAATATTTGTTGAAAGAAAGGGGTAAGAAAAGAAAACAAGATGGAAAAAGATGCTGAATTCAAGAAATTTAGAAATCATTATGCATAACGGAGATAACCCCTCTTAAGCAACAAATCGATATTTATACTAACCAGCACTTCTCTAATCAAAGTAGAACTCAGATTTTTTTCATTGAATGAAGATGGGACAGTTAAGCTCTTTAGCTGTTTATGATCAAAAAGTCAGGAGATGTACCGATGATGAGAAAAAAATGAATAATCTGTTTTTGTTCTTTTTTCTTACCTGCCCCTCCCCACATCTGCCTTCTGCATTTAAAAACCTTAGATTTCTTGATATCTATGTAAAATGAAAATTTGGAAACTCTCTCTTTAGCCACTTCCCTGAAACTGCTCCCACTTGTCTGAAGGTTGAGTTTGCAATCAAATCAGAGAGTTACACTGTCTGGTACTGTACATCATGGTATATATATATATATCACTGTTAAGATGTTGCAGTTATCCTCATATTAAGAATGGATTGAGAGTTGAATTAGATGAATGGAAGGTAGTAATTCTCTGATGGACTTCATGGACTTCCTGCCTTGGACTAGTCTTGGAGCCTTGCTAAAAAGCAGGATCCTGCATCAGTATCTCCACGGGTGATTCTTATTTAAACATATTACAGTTTGGGGATCACTTGCTTAAGGTTTCTTTCCGCTTTTGCATTTGGAGTCTTGCTTTTTGGCTGGGTCATTAATTTATATGAAAACAGAGATGAAAATAAATATATCCTTCATATTCTTGGATAATAGAATCAGATCTCTGATTTCTAAAAGTTGTATATAAATTTCTATGTATTAGAATTAAGTGGGATATATGTTTGATTCCCTGAAAGATTAGGTAGAATGAAGGCCAAGGACTTTGAAATCATATTTTTAAGAACGAAAGAAATCA